GTTTCAAAGATGTAAGAGACAAACACAAAGGTAGAAAAAAGGTAAGAAGAGTACTGTGAAAATAGTCGAATATGGCATAGAGTGAGGTGATGGTAGTTTGAAGATTAGAAGTCAACTCCCAGTTAATAGACTTTTTGCCGTATGAATATACGTTGCCCCGTTTTTTCAATTATGTCTTTCGTAAGACAATTGCTTAAATCAGCCGTCGATATTATTCCTATTAGCATATATATATGTATGAAATCAATGAAGTTTCTTCCTTGGAAAGTGCTTTGAGAATTCCTAGAGCTTGCTTAAAATGGGAACTTTGCGGCTTTTAAGCCGATCTTTGAAATTATTACTTTGATCCAAATGACCTTTAAGTTGTCAACTTGCAAAATATAAATTAGCACTTTGAGTATGTCTTTGTAAGGAAGCCTAATTGCGAATAATTTCGTTACATCCGAGGAATACTTGCAATATTCACCTCTCGTGGTCTGGATTATCGATCACTGGATTCCTCTGCTTACACCTAGATATATACACATCCACTTATGTTTGGAAACTGTCACTGTGATTATTGGCTAAATTAGGTACCTAACCCCATTTATCGCGTATTCAAGTCTATACAAGCAAATTTATTTCCTTAATATAAAATACTTTAAGCTGCAAGTCTTCCCTTTCTCCATTTACTAAGTCTGAGTAGCTGCAGCTGTAATTGAGGACTGGTTCTATAAAGAGGATAAGTGGAACTGGGTCTTGCTAGAAGGAAATTAAAAGTAATCAGCCATTTGATCAATCGCTGTCTTTGCACTTTTAGTTCATTTAAGCAATAGGTCTTATGTTGGGCATGATTTGGACAGGATGTGGAGCTTTCGTTTGAGTACCTATTGGGAGGCGGGGGGGGGGTGTTGCGGAAAGGGTAAATCAGTGGATTTCATTCTTGAAACCATGAGCAACACTACATAGCTTTCGAGTGGAGTATAGGGTCCACTGCATCATTGTAATATTTGAACCGTTAATCTAGTGGAACTTTGAGTAGCTGGTGTTCATGAGCAATTACTTGCATTTTCCATGAATTGACCAAGTTTTAAGAGTTGGTACTTACAGTTACAGAACCGTTTATTTCTACATGCTAATGAAAAAAATAATGGTATGCCTATATTGACCAAAATAATTTCAGTTTATAAGGGCTTATATGGTTTTTTTATATGGTAGAGCTCACCCTAGGTGAAATATTTGCAAGGGAACGAATGAATCGACACCCGTTCTCAAAGTTCCATTTTTCAGTGTACAATAATAATTCATTTGCTTTGTGGTCCTTTGTAATAGCTTTATTTCGAGAAAACGTGACTGTGAAGTCTGCCAATTAGCAGATAAGCTTTGAGTTTGTGGGTATCGATCTTCAAGTGCTTCTCATCTCACTTTCATTTGCAGAGTCGATGGCACTAAGAATCCACACTTAGTTTCTCTTTTTACGTATACTGCGCCTACTAATGTGAGGAAGAAAATTCCTATCAGTCTTCATCATCTCGCCGAAAATCTGTTTAGTGCCCACCCGAAGTTACCCTAATCAACTCTTTGTGGGTGCAAATTTTTTCAGTAACATTTTGGCTAGTATTTCCTCTTTTCTGTGAAGATTCACGCTCTAAATTTGCTCCTCGACCTTGCAATCGTTCGGCAAGGTTTCTTGGATGGATTCTAACACTCATTTGTCTCCTGCTGCACAATCGTATCATTTCACATCTACTCACTCAAATGTGTTCTTATTTTTTAAGGTAAGAAGATGCGCAAGATTGCCGAAGCAGCTGCCAACGAAGCCATAGCTCGAGAGACGGGTTCCTACTGTCTTTTCAAGCGCCATGGAGCCGGTGCTGCAACAGCCATGAACATCCCCTACTTGGATCGTGTCCGATTGACAGCCTACAACTCCGCTCTGAACAAAGCGTTCACTCCAATCGACGATTTTGATGGCAATATGGACTCTACCTTTGCATTCTCCGCTGTGCCTTTCCGACTAAATCCACCCACTTGTGCGCCGGCTGAACTCTCTGAGTGGGTGTGCAGTTCTACTGGGTCAATTCGAGATGGGTATACCTCAGATTGGCCCTCTGATTTATGTGGTGTCATCAATCGGTGGGTTTCTCTGTTATCTTTAGTCTATTACACACAAAAAAGTCTATCGCACTGAACAAGCTAGTCGTGGAAATCTACCTACTCGTTGTCTTTTCATCTTTCATTTGCAAAGAGTCATTAACACCTGTGTTGGGGATTTGAGGGAATCCATCCTACTTTCTGCATAGTAGTTCCACACTTTTGCACACGATTGAGATAGTTAGATTGATTTATTGAATTCCTGTGAACTCTCGTCATCGGGAACAAGAATTCCCTCGGACAGCAGGAGATTTCCCGGTGCTTGAAATTGAGAATATTGAAAAAAAATGAGGCCGTGAAATTAATCCTAAAAGCATCTGGGTGGGTAATTTTGATGATTTGACTAAATACTTGTCTCCTCGATCTCCTCCCTTTACATTCAATTAGACCACTGTGTTCAAATTCTTTATTTACGATAGCAGTTGTATCTTTTTTGACCGTTTTGTTCCCCCAGACCATTTGATTTGATTAGAAGAAAGGCATCTTGCGCTAACCC